TGGTAGAGAGAACATTATAAATTTGAAATCACTAAATGGAGTTGGACGGTTCTTATATTTTACAAAATTATTATTGAAATTTGAATAGTTAAATTAATTTCAGATGGTATTTGTATTAATAGATTTGGATTTTACATTTAAAATCTAACACTTAAATATTTAATTTTTTTTGGTTTTGATAATGAAAAAATAAAGGAAGAAGAGATGCAGGTATGAAATGTATATCAGGTTTTTATATTTTAAATAATTAATCAAATTAAATTAAATTGTGATAATATATACAATTACAATTTCGACTTTGATAGTTACATATGATATTATTTCTATGATACCATTAACATACACTTTATTTTAGTATTGAAGACTTCTTTGAAGAATTTATAGAAAATATAACCATTGGTTGGTTGACGTATAAAACGTATAAAACTTTCTGTCGATCAAAATAAAATAAAATACTTGTCTTGTCTATATGCCTATGTTATAACAGTATGCCTATATTATAACAGTATGTCTATGCTATAAGGAAGGATTCAATATTCTAATCCTTGTAGGCCCGCAGCTACTGCAACATGCTTCAAGAATTGTGCCCTATTACATACTCTTTATTCAAAATTTTAAAAGTATCCTCTACCACCTATCACCTTACACTTGTCTTGACTTTTTGTTTTTTCGGATGGTCTTCGATACATCTTTAATATCAATTGACCCTTCTCACAACGTGAAAAGAATTCTCTAAAAATGAACCCCCACCTAAACATAACCACTCAACATCCCACCAAGCATGGGTAAATATTTTGTCAAAACACTTCGCTTCATTTTCCTTTCAGTATAAGTCTATGGAAGGTAGAAACTTACAAGTGCTTATATTAATATTATAATTAACAATAATAACAAATATTATAATTAGTAATCTCATCCTATCAAATCAAAACAATAATTAAATAACAAGTAAGATTGAACATGAAAAAACATACTCCCTCTATTAAAAAATATAATACATTTTTAATCGAAACTCACCTCTTAATAAAGTAATTACCTAATTTTCAGCTAACTTAATTTACTTATTCTATTTCACACAAACGCATTAATATAACGTTTGTTGTTAGATTGAATCCTTTTTTAATAAACAAGGAAAAAAGTGGAGGCTTTTTGGTAAATTACTACTGTCCAGTCACTGTTCATGCAAGCATTCCAAATTAATGCAGGTATAGATTGTATAGGTATGGATTGTTTAGTGAGAGGTCATGTTTTTTAGGCCAACCAATAAGAGGTGACATTACATTGATGTTAAGATGATTTTACAGACGCCTGTGCCATGTTAATATATTATTATCGTTTAAATATTAAAATCATGCAACAAAATAACTATCAAATTAAACACTTCGTGCCCGATTATAAAATAATTTAAAATGAGATAATATCATAATACATACTAATAAAACAAAATAAACAACAAATATCTATATATAAATACTGTGTGGGGGGGGGGTGTGGGGTTGCATATATAGCATTATAGGAAACGTGTAGCATTTCCCATTGCTCCTTCTGCTAAAAAGATTTTTTTTTTTTTTTGGTGAATTGCTAAAAAGACTTTTATTCCTTCTGAACCAACATGTATACGTATCTACACACACATAATTCAGGCGTCGAGCTTAGGGCCTGTTTAATTTCTATTTCATTTTTTATTTTTAAAAATTGTAATTTTATAATATGGTTTTTAGAATTTTTTTTCAAAATAAACTAAAATAAAATTTATTAGTTATGTTACTTTACAAACAGTTTTAAATTAAAAATAGGCTGACTTAAGAGCAGTAGATGATAATAATTTATAATAGAAATTGATAAAATAATTATACTTATTAACAATGTATTAAAAAAAATATTTTTTGTTATTAAAAATAAAAAATAAAAACAGTACATGAGAGTGAGATGCAAAAGGAGATAGTAGAACTTCCAAAAGAAAGAAAGTTATGAGATGTAAATGGATATTTAACCCTAAATATGATGCTATTGGTAATTTAGATAGGTTAAAGGCACAATTGGTGGTGAGGGTCTCAAACATATAGTTTGGACTATAAAGAGACATTTGCTCCCGTGGCCAAATTGAATACAATTAGAATTTTGATTTCTGTAGTTGTAAATCTAGATTGGCCCTTGCATCAACTAGACATTAAAAATGCTTTCTTGAATGGGGATCTTAAGGAAGAAGTCTTTATGACATTACCCCCAGGCTTTGAGGCAAGGTGAACAAATCAGGTGTGAAAGATGAAAAAATTGTTGTATGGTTTAAAACAATCACCCCAGGCTTGGTCTGACAGATTTTCTAAAGTTTTGAGGGCAGAAAGGTACACACAAGGGGTTGTCTAATCATACTATGTTTTGTGAAGATAGAAAGTGGAAAAAAGTGTATCCTCATAGTATATGTTGATGACATAATTGTCCCCGGTGATCACGAGGAGGAAGTTAAAAGAATAAGATGGCTCTTAGAAAGAATTTGAAGTAAAGACCTTGGGAATTTGAAGTACTTTCTGGGTATGGAGGTTGCAAGGTCACAGAAAGGGATCAATGTGTCCCAAAGGAAATACATCATTGATTTGCTTCCTGAGACAAGTACGTTAGGGTGGTAGACCTACAAACACACTTGTCGTGGTTAAGAAAAGGGGAAGAAACCGAGAAAGAGAACGAAGATGAGTGTGATTTGAAGAAGATGACTGTGAAAAGGAAGAAGAGAAGAATGAGTCAGTGGACAAAGATAGATACCAAAGTTTAGTTGGGAAATAATCTATCTCTCTCACACTTGGCCAGATATAGCTTTGCGGTAAGCATTGCAAGTCATATATGTGCGACCCTATGGAGAGGCACACGAAAGCAGTATATAAAATCTTGAGATACTTGAAAGGAACACCTGAAAAAGGGTTGTTATTCAAAAACAAAACCTACAATCCATATAAATTTATCCAGATGCAGACTGGGGAGGAACATACAAGGATAAGAGGTCAATGTCAGGATATTGTTCCTTGTATGGGGAAATTTAGTCTCATGGAAAAGTCAAAAGCAAAGAGTAATCTCTAGGAGTAGCGCTAAATCAAAATTAAGGGCTTTGGCTCAAGGCATTTTAGAGGTATTATGGGTAAAAACGAGTCATGGATGAGATACATGTCAGAGTTGATCCTTCATTAAAGCTCTATTATGATAACAAAGCTGCGGTAAGTATGGCGCTAATTTCTGTCCAACATGAAAGGTCTAAACATGTGAAATTGACAGACACTTCATTAGGGAAAAAGTTGAAGGATCATGTGCCTCATCTGTCTACCAACTAGACTCCAAGCTGCAAATGTACTCACCAAGGGATTACACAAACTAGTGTTTGATAATTGTATTAGCAAGTTGGACATGATTAGCATCGATCCAACTTGAGGGGGAGTATGGTTAGAAATAATGATTATTTAATGTAATATATGTTATTATTAGGAGAGATATTGGGTAGTTAAAATAGAGGGATTTACGCGATTCATTCCCTAATATTCTCCTCTGATTCTGTCACCTTTATTCTCGGAGATTTGATTATTCTTGCTCATGTATATATTGTTGTACATACCTTCTGCTCAATACACAAGTATTATTCGGCTCAATAACTACAGCTTGGATGACACAATCATGTCACAACATGAAATTTTCGAAGTGTGACCAGCTGGAATACAAGGAAACTCATTCTATAAGCTTGAACTCATATAACACCTAGCACTTTAATTACAAATTTATCATACTATATTGATTTATATTAATAAGCATATGCTAATAGGAACAAATATTCAATCGTAGAAATTCATCAAAAATTTCAGCAAAATACCTATAAATTAAACTTCCCAAAACCTCTACAACCTACCAAGAAAAATATTCAGACAACATACAAAACTCTGCTTCACAAGAGTGTATGTGTGTGTGTATAAAAGCTAAAATACTTAAAACCAAAGATCTGCCTATAGGATACGTGGAGTGACTTTAGGGAAAAAACCAAAATACTATAAATATTTACATTAATTAACAAGGTAATCAAAAGTAACAAAATACTTCTTGTCCCAAGGAGTCCTATAAGGTCTACTAAAAGGTAGGTTTGCTTTTACTATCTGAATGCCAAAATTTCTTCTTCCCGTATATAATGTCCCCAAATAGTAATAATAATAATAATAATAAATGATAATCATGAACATATAAATTGAAAATAATGACTAATCTAATTATCAATGGTATTGGAAAGATAGCAATGCAATTTATTTTCAATAATTAACAAATTAGTAAATAAACAATGGAGAATCATAACCACTAAAATAAGAATATATCTTTTGAAAATTTATTTTAAAAAAAACACAGTTCATCTTTTTGAAAGTGAAAAGCTAAAATGTAACTTAGAAAACCTATTTTCTACTAGGACTTGAACAGAATAAATAACAAGCATAGTTACAAAGTCCACGAGAGTAAATAACATCCAACGTGGCAAGAAGTCACGAACAATAAATGCAAGTATAAAACTCAAGAATAAACAAGCGTGAAATTATATCCACCAAACTACATCCTTTATTTTACGTGTATTGGCCAACATATGGGACTAGCCCTCCTATGCACCCTACTAGCTAGGTATATCATGGTACGTCAAAGCTAATAAAAGTATCATTGGCAACCAATGATCTGAATCTAGTCCTACAAACATTTATGGCATGCATGTAATCTAAAAGTCTTTATAGTTCAAACTATTATTTTATTTGTAAGGTATAAATAATCTTTTCAAAGTGATTTGTCCAATCCAATGCACATATAATACTACTAGGAAATTAAAATACCATAAGAAAAACAACACAAATCAATCGTATTATGAATAAACTATTTCATACTCTAAATGAACTTAACCATAAAGGTAGAGTAAGAAAATCTTCTCAAAATGAAGACAATGAGGTAAGTGGAAATCCATCATTTTCATTTATTGAGAAACGTTATCCACTTACCTAATATGCCACCAAATTCTGAAATTTCCCCCTTCCAACTTTAACTAACCAGTTCCTCTTCTCCTAGGGACCTATCAAATATAATAAAGTTTCAATAGACTTTCCATAGCTTTAAATACACTCTTTCCCAGAGTTATCACCATCTTCTATATCTCAAAGTTTCTCTATTTGATTGCAGCTAGAAATAATTACCCAAATGGAATATGATTCCCTCTTAGCTCTTTTGACAAACATCTTGTATGCACAATTTTAAAATCACCCAATTAAGTTTTGAACTTTCAATATCTTATCCAATAATTTTCAATCACCAATATTTAAATAACTATATCCCTACACGCACAGCAACTAAATCAAAAGGAAGGGGAAAAAAATAATTCAGCATCTACCCTAAACTCAAAACCCACTCAGAACCGACACAAGGGGAGAGGTTCAAGATTGGACTCACCAAGAAGCAAAAGACGAGAGGGATAAAGGCTTCGAAATTCCCTCCCTCACCCAAATCAGTGACGACGCCAAACAAGAGAAGGAAAACGGAGAAGTACGCGCAACACGGAAAGAAGAAGAGGAACCCAGCGATGCGTTTAGAATTTGCAGCAGCAGCGATGGAGGAAGCTGCTTACGCCCCCCCCCCCCCCGGCGACAAGTTAAAGGACGGAGGAGGAAGATCGACGGAAGAATGGACGGAGCTTCTCAGTCTCTCCCCGCTCTAAAAACAATCCTGCTGCTCAAATAGCAATTAGGGCATTTCAGTAATTTAAACGGCTGAATAGACAAAAATGTGTCTTTTAGACAAAGATCCAATAATACAATTTAATAATCTATTATATAATATAGATAAAAAAATTAGAATATATTTTAATAACTTATCATAAAATTTAATTTTACTTTAATTAATATTAATTAAATATTATTATTTATTTAATTCAGACTTTTTTCTCTCCTTTTTTAACCTTGAAATTCCCAAATTATTACATATTAAGTCTTTTTTAATGGATTGTTACCTTAATTCTATCATAGTAAATGTCTAATTTCTTCAATAAAATTTATACTCTCCCTCATTTAAAAATATAATATGTTTTAAAAAAGTAAATGTTAAAAAATATACAGATATTTTTAATCTTTTAAATGTAATTATTTTTTTTAAATACTTCTATTGATAAATAACTTACATTTATTATAAAATATTTAATAAGAATATATATAAAAAAATAGAGTTAATTTAAAAATAAATAACTATTTAATTAGAAGTGAAATTCAGTTAAAATATTTTTATATTTTTTTAATAAAAAAAGTAATATTTACTAGCCCGAAGTTTAATATTTTTATATGACTATCTTCTCATTAGCTTGAAGTTTAATTTCTTTACTAAATTATAATATATCATATTTGAATATTATATTGCTTGATAATTTGTAACATGTGATATGGTATGGGCTTTGTTTAAGCTCTTTTTATAAAATAATCACTCATTAAAAAAAAAATTTTGCAAAATTTTATAATATTTATCTAAACTTTTAAAAATAATCTGAATAAGGATTGATTTTGAATAGTTATTTAGAGTAAGTTTAAAAATAATAATTAGATGATGGATAATGTCATATATATAAAAATATTGAAATATATTATAAAATTTTAAAATAATTAAATGATAATTATTTTTTTAAAAAAAATACCCACAAGATATAATAAAATTCATAAGTCACTAAATAATAATTTTTTTATTATTATAATAAAAAAATATTTTTTAAATTTTTATAAAATTTATAAAAAATACTCCTTTCAAACTAATAATAAGGCATTTTCTAAAAATCTTGCTTAGTCCAAAATATAAAACATTGAACAATTTTTATAATTATTTTTTAACTATACCCCTACTTTATTTATTATTTTTCTAAAAAAAATCATGCATTGAAATTTTAATTATCATTATCAAAATACTTATATAAGGTATTTAATGGAGATAAAATTAGACAAGTGTAATATGTTTAAGAATTAAGTTTCAACTAATTATTTTTTTTTAAAATCATAAATTAATTATCAATGACCCATATTTTTGGTTTGGAAGGAGTAGTCCTTTTTATAAAACTATAAACGACTAGAGTTGAATCTAACAAAAGGGAATAATATCTCACAACTTAGCAAACTAGGATTTGAAATTTTTTTTAAAGAGATGCTCATATTTTGTATCTAATTATACTTTAAATAGGATTATCTTCAATAATCCAATAGCAGGATACATATGGGCAATAAAAAAAAATCTTCAAAGTATATAAAAATTACTTTTTTTGTTAAGTTCAAATAAACCTATTATATTTTTGTTATTGGCCTTTGGCAGCCGGGGGTGAGTTTAAAGTTTCAAATATAGGAATATTTATTAGGAACACTAGGAAGGGAGTATATTGTGATTAGGAACAATATAAATTTTATTAATTATTTATTAATACCCATAATAACCTTTCTCCCAAATGTTGAATTGATGATGAGTTCAAGACCTAATATCTGCCTCATGCCAAAGCCCAAACGTTGTCTCAATCTTGATGTTAATGAACTAGGCTGCACCTCAATCCAATCAACAATTGGATATTCTTGTAATCACATTAGGTGAAGGATTGCTTCTTCTTCTTTTTTTTTTGTTTCATTTTATAATCAATTTTAAAAATAAAATTCTCATTATGAAATAGTTTTTAATTTTTCTTAACATGAGTAATGGCTTTTTTCCATTGGTCAATAATAGGAATGAATTTTTATTATGTAATTTGCCTTGTAAGGATTCTAAATGCTCATATAAATTCACCTAAACTATTTAAGAATGATCTTCATTTAGAAATATTGATGTAATATCGGTTTGTTCTTGTAAGCTCTACCCCATTGGACAACATTAAAGTTTTCTTCCCATACTCAAAGCATGATTTTTTAATTATTTAAAAGATGTTTCTGCTTTTTTTTTAACAGTAAGGATGTTTCTATTTAATAAAGTTTCATAACTAATAATTAAAAGTAGATTGAAAAATATATAAAATTTGAAATATATTTAATTTACCCATTTCAAATTCTATATATTCCTATTAATTTACTTATCAATTGATGTGTACGATAAAATTCGGTCGTGGTGCAATTAGATGACTGAAAATAATATAAAAAAATTCAATAACAATTCAGCAATTGTTTTTTTTAATATATACTTTTTTCATTAAAAATGTAAGGTATTTTTTTAAAATTTTTTGTCTAAATCTTTTAAAAAGTTGAATGTTCAAAAATATAAGACATTTTTAATATTTTAAAATGTAATTAATGTGTTTTTTTTCAAAATATTATATAAATAAATTACTTTTTATTTATTTTAAATTAAATGCTTTATTAAATATGGGTAAATATGAAAAGTTAATGTTAGTTTAAAGATATAACTAAATGAGTATATATAATTAGGGAATACTTTGTACATCCTAATTTAATTTAGTGCTTGTTTGGGATTTTATTTAATTGACTTAAACTATAATTTGTAGGCTTAAAAGTTAGTTATGGATAACAAACTATGTTGGGTAAGAGTAGTTGACAAATCAAGGGAATATTTAAAACTATTTTTATTTTATTATTCTAAAAATTAGTATTTTTGTAAAGCATGTTTTGAGAATAAAAAAATAATAAAATATATATTTTTTTATTTTTTTATTCTTCAAAATAATATTTTAATTTTTTCTTTAAAACACTTTTTAAAAATACATTACTAAACAAATTTTTTTATCTTTTATTTTAGAAAATAAAAAATTATTTTTAAAACAGGTTGCCAAACAAGTTTTAACTTTTCTTCGCCAAAGTTAGACCAAAAGCTAAATTTTGAAACTTTTATACTAGTTAAATTAAAATCTAAGTTAACACATTTAATGCATTTTAAATTTATTGAATAAATTTTAATCTTTTCACACTTCCTTTTAAAATTTGATATTTTTTATTATTTATAATATATATATATATATATATTCTTTAAGTAAATCAAATTAAGTTTTTAAATATTTAGAAATATTTTCTATATTAATACATTAAATTTTTTATAATTATAATTATAATATTTTTTAAAATTTATCAAATCGCATATTTATACATGTGTGTATGGATGTGTGTGTGAGGGAGTGACATACATTTATATATGACAATATTTAAATATAAATCACGTCACAATAATTAAACCCAATTTAATTTGTAAAATGCAGTCTATGTAATTGTAAACTGTAGGAAGGAATCAGGCCTAAAAGAAAACTTGTAGGAATTTTTACTTACAGTTTGCTATTTCTGATTCCCTACTTTCTCTAGCTTCGATCACGGTCACCACTAAGGAAGCTTCAATAATTTCTTGGCCAGAAAAACAGGAAGCTTTATCCACTCTAAGCTTTCCACTTACTGAAGAGTTAACTGTTTTTTCGCGGCCAAGAGTGTCAGAAACGGCAAAACTGCAAGTTCGGATTTGTCTTCGTGAGTATATTTCTCAGGTAGATTAAATATTTGTAATATTTCTACCACATTACTTGCTTGATGCGCTCTGCTATTACAAACATGTAAGAACTGACGAGAGTGATCGAGTTTTTTCTTTTTCCTTTTTCTTTTGGTGTGGTGTTTGTGCAATTAGTTCTCTCGTAACTTTGTTACGTGATCTTTTTAGGTACATACCCAAATCGGGTTTTATGGACCTTTTCTCCTCGTTTCACGACATTGACATTGGCTTTTACCTTTGTTTTATTTCCGAATGAGTAGATTAAGGCAAAGAGGAAGTTGCAAGAATAACAAGAGCTAATCGAATTGCTGAAGCTGGAATTTCAGGAGAAAAGATAAGTTGCATGAGATGAGACACGTTCAGGAGATGGCTGTAGAGTTCGTCAATGCCCTTAATGCTGCTGCTGCTGAGGTATTTCTTGGTGTTTATTTCATGAATATGTTCCTTATGGATTACGTCAGTAGTTTTTAATTTTGATTTTGTTCCAATTTTTTTTTTGGGGGGGGGGAGGTGATAGGACTAAGGGGGGATTTATTTGTAATTTGTGAAGAAATATGTATACGTGTTGATAATTGTATCTTGCTTTTCCATTTGAATTTTATGTGATACTTCAACTCTGTCACTCCCTTATAGTTAGAGCTGTTGCTAACTTCACAGAGTGAATGTGCTAAATTGAGGAGGCTGCTGGAAGAAGAGAGAAAGCTTGTGCAAAGGCTTAAACAAGAAAAAGAGGATGAAGCACAAATGGCCAAGAGAAAATCTGAAAGGACGAGTCAACGATTAGCAGAGGCTCAAAAAGATGTTGAATACACTACAACCAGAGCTGATGTTGCTGAGGTTTGGCTTGTCTTGATCCCCCCTCCCCGCAATTATGTTTTAGACAATCTTACAAGGCATTGTATTACAGGATTCTTCATTTCTGATGTTAAAATTTTCACAATATTTAGACTAACAAGGCTGTATGATAATTTATTTGCGCCACTCTTAAATTTGAGAATTCCAAAATTAAAATTGGTTTTTTATCTGTCATTCAAATTTTACCCATAGCTAATCTAATCCCTCTCCAAATGATTCTATGTACTTTTGTGATCAGTTATAATAAGATACTACAAGCCCTTTGAAAATTATTTTGGATAGATTGAACTATTTAAGTGGCTATTGATTGGTATCTTTTTATGTTTATAAGAATGAATGGGTTGAGTTGAAGAGAGAATTACATGAAGCTCAAGAGCTTGTGCAAATGCTAAGGCCAGAAATTGGGGAGACAAAACAAATTGTACTGAGACAGGTTGACATCAAAGAGCTAGAGCTAGCCAATG